GGAAAAAGAAAATTATGAAAGAAAGCAGTTGGATAATTGGAACTGGGAGAGTTCATCCATTGATCCTTCAGTGCAAGACCTTGTCCAGCAAGGGAAAACAAGGAAGAAATGTATTGGGAAAAGTATAAAGCTAATCAAAGCTAAATTGCTTATAAATGAACAGTTTCCAATCTGAAACAAAGAGGAGGATGCTATAAGCAGAGACAATGGAAAAAATACAATGGGACTTTCACTTTTTTTCTTGGAAATAAGCCCCTTACTTCCCAAGAGAAGTACTTCCCAGGGGAGAAGTCATATAAATTCATGCAATGTGGGAAGATCTGGTGGTCTTACTTCCTATAGTAACATCCATACGGGGAGTAGCCACATAAATGCATCGAATGTAGAAAGACTTTAAGGCTTAAGAGGTCAACTTACTTCCTGTAAGATGGTCCACATGGGATAAACCACATACATGCATGGAGTGTGGAAAGTTTTCAGTGATGATGTTTCCTTTACTCCCCATAAAAGGATCCACCTTCGGGAGAAACCTTATAACTGCATTTAATGTGAAAAGAGCTTCAGCGATATATTTCCCTTAATTATCATAACAAGATCCACAGGAGAAAAACCACATGAATGTATGGAGTCCTAAGGAGCTTTACATAAATGGATCCACACAGGAGTATCCTTATCAATTCAGCGTGGCAAGAGCCTCAACAGGAATAGTAATCTGAAACCTCATGCAAGAGTCTTCTTGGATAGTAATCTTCATAAAATGCTAGACCTACTTCAGTATCTTCCAAATAAGACAAGGTGAAGGCTCAATCCTTGCTTACGGTTTTAGCGAAGTAGGAGGTTCTAAGGCAAAAATGAGTGGAGGTTAACCAATGGAGATTAAAAGATTAATCATTTCAAGAAACTCCTTCTGATGAATATATCCACTAGAACAAGAGTTGCAGAGAAAAATGCAATTGGTCCTAAAGCCCCTGTTATAGTTTTACTTTTACTTTCTTTAATCTTGTCCCAATCCACCTTTCCACTCTGCTTCGCATCATATAATGCAGGAAAGAAAACCATAAGGAGAATGGGATTATAATACTGAATTAGAAGATGCAACTCAAAGGCTCTGTGTCCTAACTGTAGTTTTCTCTCCTCTCCTCTCCTCGTTGGCCTCAAAATAAGAGTAAAGAGAAAAGTTAAAGTATGCTGAATTATCAGCAAACGAAATGGACTTTTGGAAACTGTGGGGCCAGAAATATAGTTAGAATAACCACTCCAGGGATGCGTGGGAGACCTCTGCTACATCTTTGTTCCAAATCTCAAAACAGTTACTGCTTCTTGGATATGAAAATAACTGAACTCAAAGTATTTGTCAGTCAAAAGTGTCTTTATGTCACAGAATCTTCCCCCCCAAGTCCATGTAAATGTATATAGCATGACAAGAGCTTCAGAGCGAGAGTTTCCTTTTCACTAAAGGAGCCATACTGGTAAGAAGGCTTATAAATGTACAGGCTTTGCTCTTATGAAGGTGACAAGGGGCTTGCAAAAGCTAAAACAGATTGTATTACATTTACCTGTAATCTTAGATTAAATTAATGAAATACAATTTGTATGGATTTTTTTCTGTCATATAATGAATGATCTCAGGACACATTACAAATGTGCTTATTTTTGGAGGGGCCATAGTTGAGGCTTTTAGAGTCCAGTTTGAACACATTTACTGAAAAGTGGCATAGTGATACTTCCTAGCATTGTGGAAATATCTGTACCTTTGCGTCTGTTCTTAGCCATATCCACACATGGAACACTTAAAGCAAGTAGGTTTCATAAGAGAAAACTTTGGTAGGGGAAGTGTTATGTCCCACCTTCCAAAAATAAACAGATAAGGCTGAAAGCAGCAGTCCTCGCAAATAAAGGCAGCAACCAGGAATCTTCACTGATAACAGCCGCAGCCAGCCTCCACAAGATAGTCCAAGTTAACAGTCCCAATAAATCCAAGTCCCAACAAGATATTTCAGGTTTAAATCCTCCAAGCCAAAGTCTTCGGTTCTCTTTGCAAACAATTTGTTCCCGACAAGAGTGCAGAGTCATTCCTCTTCCTTTTATAGAGCAGCAGCTAATTACTGATCTGCCCTCCTCCTGTGCTCCCGTTGGTTTCTTCTGACATCCACCCAGCAATTAACTAAATTATTACTTTCACCTAAAGACTCCATAAGTAACCTGATTGAGAAGCCGAGGAGGTTGAAGGTTCAGGCCGGTCCTGCAAATCAAATGTCCTCCCTTGTAACATTCTCATTCAAAACTGCAAGCAAAACTGTTAGGATTCCCTTTTGAAATTCAAACAGTCATTTCACGATCAAATCAAACTACAGGGAGTAACGTTCTCATTCAAAACTGCAAGCAAAACTGTTAAGATTCCCTTTTGAAATTCAACAGTCATTTCACAATCAAATCAAACTAAAGGGAGTAACGTTCCCTGGTTCTGACGTCAATCCACGATCTAACAGTCATCAGATTCAAAGTTCCTAACAGGATTGGACCTTCCAATCACAACAGGGAAGATGGCTATCTTGCCAAGCATCCAAGAGGTCATGAGTCATGAACATGGATGTGATGGTATGACATGGCATGTAGAATACATATGGAAAAGCAGGACAAAAATAATGGGAGTAGCCATCAAAGAACAATGCTGGTCTTATTACCCAATCTTGTTGACGGCAGATACACAGATTTGACAGTCTCCTAAGTATGTGCTATCATGTCAGGGTCAACGTTTTGTAATCAGATATCCTTCAGGAGGATCTGTGCCTCATGTGTTCCTTTAGCAATGGCAATGTTGCACTTCTCACCATGGTAGTTACTATGTCCCTCCAGCTTGCTGCTGGTTGACTAATGTCCCAGCCTTAGAGCCTTTTCCATGTGCAAGTAGGTTTAGGATGAGGAGAAATTTGGCTGATTTTTACTTCAGAGCTATGACATCCATCCAATTTGGCCATCTGTTAGCTTATTATTAAATATTAGAAAGGTTTTGTAAGCTTTCAATGAACTTTAGCCAACATTATTAGTTGTGCCTTTGCCTACTTGAAGTAACAAATCTTTAACACCTTTGTGCACAAGCTTGAAGGGTCAAAAAAGCAATGGTTGAGCACAGGTGTCTAAGAAACCTGGCAAGTAGCTCTTGCTGAAATCAACATATACAAATATTCGGAGGTCATTGGGTGAGGGACAAATATCAAGGTTTCAGAGGCTCCTGCTAGGTTGAGGCTATTTTTCAAATATTGCTCATTAAAATTTCTGGGTCAAACTAGAGAATAAAGGAAAAGATACATAAAAATAAAACAAATTAACTCCATTCTTTTAAAATTGATTTTTAACCACTTTTCTCTCCATTTAAATTCTTTGTTTTCCCCAGTGCAGCGAATCTCTTGGTGTGTCATTATCGACTCCAACCATGGACATATCTTTACATCTCAGTGGAGTCTTCAGCTCTTCTTATTTTGCTTTTTCATTTTCTTTTCTCTGTTTATTCATGATGATCTCTCCCTCCCTCCCTCTCTCTCTTAATATTTGAGATTCATGTTCCTTTTTCACATTGTTGTCCTAAAGGTGCATTATCAAAAAGGCTACTCAGAGAGCTAACAATCAGATGATGACTGCAAAGAACGTAAATACTTCCATTTTCCACCAGTCAGTTAGAACTGAAGAAGCTTCTTGGATGAGAAGTGAAACCTTTTCAAAGAAGAAACTAAGTAATTCCAGTTGTCTTTTGATACAAAATACCTTTGGTAAGTAAGTAAGTAAGTAAGTAAGTAAGTAAGTGTTGGAAGAATTATCCTTCTGGCTTCAGTTCCAAGTGGAGAAAAAGACACTGGAAATATGGAGGCTGTTTGGAAAGATGGTTTAATGGTGGACAGGACCACAAGGCTTGGAGCTCTAAAGGAGAATGATCACATGCTTCAAGGTGAAGGAAAAGAGAAGGACTGAGATGCTGAGAGACCCTTAGTTGTAAACCCTCTGTTGGGCCCCACCTTAGTCTTTCCTGTTCCTGTGTAAGAAATGTATCCAATTGGCTGCCAGACTCCCAGGGGTGGAGGCCCTTAGATAACTTTGTCTGCACCACATGGCTTCACCTGAGTTCCAGGCTTGGTTGAGCCTTACTGGATGATGGTGTAATGAAAGGGCTTTAGGCAATTCCTATAGCGCTATCTTTGTTATGTAAAATATTCTGGCCCAGGCCTTAATGGCCCACCCATTAACAAAGGTGGGGGTGAGTTTCTGCTTCTGAGGTGAGTTTCTGCTTCTGAGTTTCAACTCTTTAGGGGAAATATTCTGCCTTTTTAATAGTTCCTAGGATATTTCATTCTTCTAAGAGAGGGGTGGGTGCTAACTTCCTACAAAAAGAAGGAAGGAAGGATCCCCCAAACCAATCACCCTATATCTGATTTCTACTTTTCAGTGGTATTTTCCAGAGAGTTAATGTGTGCATCTTTGTATTTTGGCTTCCTTTACAACAGAGGCACCAGCATATCAAGCAAAAGACTTTTTACATGGAGATATTTTGAAGAAAATGCCCTCAAATCCCCATCTGTAGGCCCTGGCTGCCTTTTGCCTCAGGCTCAGCAACTGTCAGCTGAAACCCCACCTTCAAGGCCTTTAAGCTTTCAAAATCTTTCTTTTGGTTTCTACCTTGTCTCACAGCCTGCTGAGATGAGCTTTAACATTAAAAAGCAAGAAAATGAGGAGATAGGATAGCCTCCTTCTTCTTTTTCCACATTGAAAAAGTTCCCTTTCTTCCCTTCCAGCTCTATCCTGATTCAAATGATTCAGATTGCATTAGGGGGCGCCCTGGGATATGAGAAGGGAACAGGCGCTTCTCTCTTTGGCCACTGGAGGGCAAAGGTTTCGGCTTTCCAGAAGAGGCTGAGAAGGGAGGGACATCACTGAGCCTTGCCTCTTTATAACATTAGCATTTGCTCTCCTTAACCCTTGGAGCTGCTACAGTGGTAAAAAGGCTGCAGGAGAGACTTGCAGGGGAGGGATCCAGGCGTGGTGGGGGGTGAGGTGGGCTCTTCCCATGCAAAGAGGGGCTGAGAAGGGAGAGAGATACATGCCCAGCCGTCTTCCGAATTCAATCCTGGATCGAATGCATGATGGAGGAAACCACCAGGTTCTCAAAAATTCAACCCTGGAACTTCAGGAGCCTCCGATACCAGGAAGCTGAGGGTCCCCGAGGACTTTGCAGCCAACTCCACAACTTTTGTAGGCGATGGCTGAGTCCAGAAAAGCACACCAAAGCCCAGATGCTGGACCTGGTTGTTCTGGAGCAGCTCCTGTTCCTTCTGCCCCCAGAGATGGAGAGCTGGGTGCGGGAATGTGGAGCAGAGACCAGCTCCCAGGCGGTGGCCCTGGCGGAAGGCTTCCTCGTGAGTCAGGCGGAGGAACAGAAGGAGCAGGTTGAGTTGGAGGTGAGGCACTTTTGGGGAGTTCAAAAGGGAATAGAGAATGTGTTTGAATACTTCCCAAACTTCCCTGGAATTCATATGTGAAGATCGTCCCCAAATTCTTGTAGAACATTGTTCCATTGTTTTTTTCACTCAACCTCACTGATGGATATTGGGGGCTTTGAGGTTGTGTTCCGGATATAAGATTCCACTTTATTTCATGTGACGTACATTAATTCTGCTTCTTTTTTTCTTCCTCTGATTTGAAGTGCTGCACTGTGGAGATGAGAGATCCAGAGGGAAAGAAGAACCCATCAAATCCCCCTCAGGAGCTACTTTTCAAGAGGTTGCCTTGGGAAGATCCACGTCGGGACACCTCAGGAGGTAATTGAAGATCCATCTGTCTTATCTTTGCTATCTGTCCTCTTCTATAGAATACCTCCTCTATTTTGTTAATTATGTATTTTGAACTTATTTATTCCTTACAGAGAAACAAAGAATGAAGTTTTCTGGCTTTTCTGATGGACCTCAAAGAGCTGTTGAACCTCCAAATCAAGTAAGAAAGGGAAAACTTATTAGATTTGTGTTCTCCCTTATCTCCTTTTATTTTCCCTCCTTGTTTGTGTTCCTGAGTGACGTAGAAAGCACAATAGTAGGTTCAAGTTGGTCTCAATCAGCAGAGCTTCCTGTATAGAATATTACTGGGACATGATGGTTTGTCATTTCTGCCCTCAGGTTCTGGTTAGGAAATGTTCTCAAAGACCACCGTTTAACTTGTTCTGCTACCTTAGGTACCCCCCCCACCCCCAATTGTCTGGAATGCCCTACCTGATTCAGTTGTCTCAGCTACAGATTTTCAGAGTTTCAGTCACAAATTGACTTCCATGGACCTCACTTCATTGTTAAGTGGTCAATATAGGGTACGTGCATAAGTATATTGACGTGCCTATCATCCCTGTCATCGTATTTTTATTCTCTTGTTTTTGTTCTCATTTTTGTTTGATAAATTCCAATAAATAAAATAAATAAAACTATGAGTTTACACGAAGTAATTTTTTCAAAGTCCAAGAATTTTGAATGAACACGTCACATGGCAGTAACTGCAAGATACCCATTCTTCTTGTAATTCTTTGACTTGGAATTTTGCAAGGCTAATGAAAAGTAACTATATGTTCACATTGTCACATTGCCATTTTAAAAAAAGCCTTGTTTATAACCAGTAGTTCAAAAAATAAGCAAATTAAAAAAAGAAAGCAGACTATTAAAATCCAAAAAGAGTGGCCACGTAGTGTATGTAATCAAGGTACTCTGGGATACAAAATATTTTCCAAACTTCTCATTTGTGCCTGAATCCCAGAAGTGGGATTACTTTATTGAATAGCACTAAAGGTTTTGCAGAAACAACTTGATAAAACTTGCCCCAAATATTTCTTCAGTCAAAGGAATTTTCAGATTTGTCCATTTTCTCACCTAAAATTAGGATTTATGTGATGCAGACATTTAACGGTGCATATCTTTGCTTTGGGAATTTGGGATCAATGGAACAGAATGACAGAGTTGGTAGGGATCTTGGAGGTCTTCTAGTCCAACCCCCTGCTTAGACAGGATATCATTTCAAATAAATGGCTGCCCTTTTTTTTTCTGAAACACCCCCAGTGTTGGAGCACCCACTATTTCTGGAGGCAAGTCATTCCACTGATTAATTGCTTCCACTCACAGGATATTTCTCTTTAGTTGTAGGTTGGTTCTTGCCTTGAATGGTTTCCATCCATTGCTTCATGGAACACTGCTATCATGTAACCCCCCTAGTCATTCTGTTCATTAAACTAGACGTACCCAATTCCAGCAACTGTGCTTTATATGTTTTAGCCTCCAGTGCAGTAATAATTTGTGTTGCAGTTCTCTGCACTCCTTCTAGAGTTTCAAGATCTTTTTAACATAGTGGCAACCAAAACTGGATGCAATATTGCTAGCGTGGTCTTACAAAGGCATCATAAAGTGGTACTAACACTTCATGTGATCTTAATTCTATCCCTTTTTAATGCATCCTATGATTGTGTTGCTATTTTTGGCCACTGTAACACAATGCTGACTCATGTTTAAGTGATTGTCTACTAGGACTCCAAAATCCTTGTTGCACTTACTACTTTTGAGCTAAGTATTACCTGTTCTATGCCTGTGCATTTGGTTTTTCTTTTCTGAATGTAGAACCTTACATTTCTCATTGCTAAATTTCATTTTGTTAGATGGTGCCCAATGTGTCGATCCTTCTATATCTCGAGCCTATTTTTTTGAGTGTTGTTATTCCTATCAATTAGGTCTTGTCTGCAAATTTGATGAGTTCCCCTTCTATCTTCTTTTCTAAATCATTGCTGATGATGAACAGATCTTCTGAATCCTCCTGTTGTGTTCTTTTTTCCATGTACAGGAGAGTCTTGTGTCCTTCAAGGAGGTGGCTGTGTATTTCTCTGAGGATGAATGGTCTCAGCTAGATTCTGACCAAAAAGAACTGTATTCGGAAGTCATGCTTGAAAACCATAGGAACGTGATCGCTCTGGGTAAGAGTTTTCTAGTCCCCAATCAGAGAGTTAAAGAAGACAGATTACTCTGATAGTTTTTGTTTTAAAAAAATCACTAATCACATATCGTCTCCTGGGAGGGAGGATAGGATCTGGCCTTCTCGTACGCCAAGGAAGGAAAGAGTTAATGTCTCTTTGCTTAGATGTGCCATTTCTTATCTGTATTTTTTCAATTTTTATTTGAACTTATCTGTGGAGGCTGAAAAGAATGAGGTGTGCTTTTATGTGTCCTCTGGAGATCATGTGAGAGGATTGTGCTGTCATTGTTCTCATTAACTCCTAAATATGGCGCATTAACTCCTCAATGCTAATGGGCAGGCTTTCTGTGACTACGTCCTGCCCCTTTACAAATGCAGAAGAGATTCTACTGTAATACAGGAAGAAGCAACTTCCTCTATCCCTATCCTATACTGTTCTGTCCTGACCTATCGTATCAATTATTCTTCCTCTGGAATCTCCAAAAATTGTGTGAGTACAGAACTTTCATGCTCAGGCCATGGAAGAGTGCATTCTCTCAAACCAATTTGAAAATGAAGGCTGCATGCAGTGTGACTCAGAGCATCCTAGGGTATAGGTAATCCCCGAGTTACGACAGTTCATTGAGCAACCATTTGAAGTTAGGACCTAGCCCCCCCAAGTACTTAAGACCCAGCCCCCAAATTATAAATTTGGTAGCACTACGGCACTGTAACATTCATCCTCCCCCACTCCCCCCACCCCAGACTAACCTTGTGACAATGTAGTAAGCGTTTCTCTGCTTGTGAGATCACGCATTAAAGGAGTTTAGGGACTATTCTCTGTGAACTGAGACAAGCCCTTTAAAGCTGATCAGGCTTTGGGACAGTGAGGTAGCCTTAACCCAGTCCAATAAATCTTAAGTTTTCTAATTCCTCCTTGGATGTTTCCCCTGATTATTCCTTAATTCAAAACTCACTGAGCGAGATTTGCATATATATAAATAATTGTAAAGAAAGAGATGTTTTCTAGATATTTTCAAAGCTTTCATGACTCATGAATATAGAAACCATCATGTCTATATCACAGCACTGCAGGCATGCAAAATACAACATAATGGAATTTTGGAAAAGTTCAGAACAAAATTTGTTGACTTTCTACAGTTTGATAATTTTCCACTAACATTGTTAATCATTTTCATTTATCTTTTCCTTTGAAGGTAATAATGGGCAGGAGAATCAAGATTCCTGTGAATTGTTCCAAGTGATCAATGCTAAGGATGGAATGGCAACATTTGGAATTCAAATAGCTTTCGAAAGCCATGAGAAAACCCAGTCAAATAATTGGAATCAGAAAAGCTCATCTTCCACTGATACTCTGATGCAAGACTTTCTTGCCCAACAAGAGAAAATAAGGAAAAAATATATTGGGAAAAGTGTGAAGCTAATTAAAGTTAAATCACATGTTAGCAAACATTATTTAAGCCAAAACAAATCAGAAGATCCTATAAGAGGACATGATGAACAAAATTACAATGGGACATTCGTACATTCTCTTGGAAATAACTCTCTTATATCTCAAAAAGTGATTCACAGAAAAAAGAACCCTTATAAATGTTTGGAATGTGGAAAACATTTTAGAACAAGCAGGCAACTTACTTCCCATGAAAGGATTCACACTGGGGAGAAGCTATACAACTGCAGAAAGTATGGTAACAGGTTCAGAAGAGGTACTAATCTTATTTTCCATAAAAGGATCCACTCAGGAGAGAAACCGTATAAATGCATGGAGTGTGGAAAGACCTTTGCTCAAAGTGGTACTCTTATTTCCCATATAATGATCCACACAGGGGAAAAGCCATTTAAATGCATGGAGTGTGGAAAGACCTTTGCTCAAAAAGGTAATCT